TTTCCGGTTCAAGGTAGTCCAAGCTTTCTCATCAACACCTGTTGGACGTTCTTTATACAAAATTGGGTCAAGCAAATCTTTAGAGCATAAATAATCCTCAATACGAATTTTCCAAATTGAATAATTCGTAGAGTCCAAACTAACCATTCCTTGAACAATTACTTTGTCATCCATCATAAACAACACAAGAAGCCAACCAAAAATAATCAAGCTCTGATACCACTTTGTTGGGGAAGCACGAAATAAAACACAACGGAAGCGTATAAAATCTTTTCCCCAAATTAATGAGATGAATAACAAGCACAATGAACTCTGAAAAATCAGTAGCACACACACAAATAAATGGCAGCGATAATAAAATAGATGACACACGATTTACGTGGAAACCCCAAATTGGGGAGAAAACCACGGCCGCTCAACAACGGCTCCCAAACTTCCACTAATCACCAAAAATCAAGTGGGTACAACAAGTTCTCCTCTCTAGTAAACACTAGAGGCATACACAATCATCAAGGAGCAACCTTGGAACAAACAACAATCAACAATTCACCATAAAATGGAGTAAAAACTCCCAAAAACGCAAGTCTGAAAACGCAGCAAGAAAACCACCTTCCGGGCATCAAAACGAGAAACTGACCGTTGGATTTGAAGAGGAGTATGTGAGGAACAGCATACTAAAATTTGAGTACGATCGGACTTCGTTTGGCCTTCGATCCGGACGAGAAAAGTGGCTGCTGCAAAGTGGGCATTGGTGCACACTTTCTAAACTACTGAGGTACTAGAATTATTAGGTCTATTTTTTTGATATTATAGGTTGATATTATTATTATTTTAAGTCCATGTTTTAAAGAAAAAAACATGAATACCCGATTCTCATTCTTTTCCAATATTTTACTTCATACTTATATTGCAATCTTTCTTCCATTTTTGTCCAAACTTTGTTGGATAATAACTATGCCTTTCAGTGGCGGATCCAACCACTCGCACTCGGAGCACACGCCCCAGTGAATTTTTTTAAAAGGGGATTATAAGAGAGAAAAAGATAATGATCCACATATTTCATGGAGGAAAAAAGTGATATTTTGGCACAGAGGGAGTACAAAAGAAAATTAAAAATTATTTTTCAGAAGCAAAGGCTATAGTGTTATTCTTGACTATATATTCAAGTGACTAATTAATCTGATATTGTGCCTAGCCTGTTATTCTCGCCCTACCGAAATTTTTATGTAGTGTCAGAACAAATCCGATCCGGGTTCGATTCTTCATGGTTGTTTCGACGTGGGAGCTATCTGTTCGTAGTTTGGGTTAAGTTGGCTATAAGAGCTAGAGAAGACACTGCTCGTTGTGTGGATTAGCTATAATAAAATGAGATATTAGACCCATTTGTCTAAATAATAACTAAACCAGATTCGTTACCACTTGAGAAAGAGTGTTGAAGTTTTCACATCAGAAAATAAATAAGAATACCACTAGCATATATAGAATGGTGAACTCTTACCTATCTGCTTAAATTTTTGAATTCAAAAATAGATTCTGACTTCATATGCAATTGGTTAATTTAATGCGATACTCTATCCGTTATTCCCGACCAATTAGAATTTTATCAAAAGTTAGTCACATTGTTTATTGTTTGAGACTACCGGCCTTGGACCGAACTAGCTTGATCCTAATCTTTCATGTCTCGATGACTCAACCCTAATCGATCTGGTTCAATCTTTGTGGTCTCCATGCTTTTGCTTTTCTTCTTTATGTATGTTCACAATATTTGGATAATATTGGCATACACGCGGAGAAGAGTATAAATTGAATTGAATGGAAGGCATGGAAGAATAAAATCAATATTTCAGTGTTCAATAACTACGAGCGTGTGGGATGGGCTCCGGCCGCCCATTGATAAAGTCCGCATTTCCGGTCATCCGAGCTCCCGGATTCTCTCTGCCATGTCCGATCAAGCTCGGCCTCCCGTCTCTAACCGACCGCCGCCTCCTGCCGGCGCTGATGCCGCTCCTCCTCCGCCATCCAAACTACAGCTTCCGAATCAACCTCCCCTACCGGCAGCCGGACCCAGATGAAGCACGCCGCCGCCGCTCAATAATCGCAGAACTCGTTTTCTGCGGCGCCGTATCGGCGTTTACCATCGCCTTCCTGGCGTTCTGCTATCGCCGTTACCCCGATTTCCGCGCCGATTCGCTCTCCGTTTCCGATTTCAACATCTCGAGTAGTAACCTCGTCGCCGGGAATTGGGACCTCCGATTCACAGTCCGGAACCCTAACGGCAGGAAGACGGTCATCAACTACGAGCACATCCGCGCCGAGATCTTCTACGGTAAGGTGCCGCTCGCGGAGACCGTCTTGAAGCCGTTCTCTCAGGAACCGAAGAACGAGACTTCCCTGGAGGCGAGATTCTTCGCCAATGGAACCTTCGTCGACGACTGGATCGTGGAAAGGTTGAACGAGGACATGGAATTCAATGTCAGATTTTATGCATCGGTTTCCTTGAAGGCCGGATGGCAGAGGTCGGAAGAACAGGACTTTACGGTGTACTGTAAGAACTTGAAGGTCACGGTTGATGGCGGCGGCAGCCATGGCTCCTCTGATTCTGGAGGGCCAAAACGGTGCGCATTCCGTATCCCTGGCTCTTCCTATGAGAGGTTGGGAATTTGTAATTACTAGACACTACCCGTGCGATGCACGGTGAAAATTTTATCTAACGATAAACATAATGAAATATATAAATAACTTATAATTAGGGATGAAATGATAAGTCACTAAATTCCAAATTTATTTAAATAGTTGGTATTATGTATAAAATAAGCACGAGTCCTCTAGCTATATGCTTTGGTCATTACAAATCAATATCTTCAACATCTCAAGTCTTGTTGATTAGTCACTTGTGAAACAACGATGTATAATTGATCAATTTCTCACCAATACTACACTAATGTCATAAAGGACTTGCAACAAATTTTGAAAACAATGAAGAAATTGACGCAACCCAAACACCTTCATAAGCTAGGTCGCAACAGCAGTTGTGAAGTCAAGAGAGTTGCTGCCTCGTAGTATTTGGGTATGGAATACGATGGCTCTACTTTGCACAGTATCTTGATCTGTGGAGCTTTTGTCACTTTGAGAAAAAAATTTATATTGCTATGGAGTTTCGGTTCTACTCGCAAGAGAAACTGGAGTGTATCTTGGTTGTATACTGCAAGGCTTCATAGTCTTCCCAAGCTCTGTTTCATTTTCTCTGCATTATAGTGAAGACAGCAAGGAGTATTTTCTACCATACCATTCCAGCTAGCCTGAATGATTTGTTCTACTAATTGCAGTGTGCTTTGAAAACTTTTGTGGAATAGCGTAGTACCCATGGGAACATCTCTTATAGAAACTCTCCTTGCCAACTACTCAATGTCTATAGAAACTCCCTCTACCACTACTCAATGTTTGACTTCTGCTTGACGTTACCTCACAAATGCCACCGTTTAGGTAAGCCCAAATGGTTCCTACCAAGTACATGTGCACAAAATTTGATTAGTAACTCTGATCTATTGACACCCCAATCTATGCTGCATGTTAGTTAGTTTTTGGAAGAGAGTAATTCTAGAAGATATCACCATTATGAAGGAGAACAAAATTACAATGCTACATCCTCTTATTTCAAAAAACAATCAGCTAAAACTACAGCATTTTATCAAATTAAAAATGGAGGTAAAATGAATAAAGGTGCATATTAGATAAACACAATTTAACAACACCACACAACCCACATTATGAAGTAGTATTAAGCTTAAAGTCTTGCTCAATTATCAAAGTATTTACATTTTGCAAGTTGAGAGTTGATATTGCAGAACCATAAACTTGATGAAAATCTTCAAGTACAAAAGGATTAAAAATCATATTTGACATGTAAGCCCAATCAATTACTCAAATGCATCATTTAAAATTAAAGATTAAGAACACGATAACTGAAGTGGTCTACCTCCATTTATAAAACTTTCAATTGAATAAGTTTTGATCAATAGAGCATAGTCTCTCTTTTTTCTAATAAGGCTACTCTGACATGTGGCTTTCATTCACATTTTGCTTGGGTCGTTGATTTGTACCTAAGAATAAAATTTCAACTATTAAACTTCAAAGTGTATATCAATAAAAGGATGAAAATCTAGAATACTTGAGCCAAAAGTAGCAAAAATAGAAACACTGAAAATGGCTCATACTGGAGGTGAATTTCTAAAATAGAACCCATAATCAAAGTTGTATATCCATCTGAACGATGGACGGAGAGTAGATTTCAATCGCATTGCATGCTCTTTTCTAAATAATACTCCGTATGTGATATTACTTGAGCAAAAAAAAAAAGGAATCATAAACCTTAAAAAATATGTTACTTTCAGCCAAATTTTAAAAATAGAACCCATAAAAACACTATATATTCCTTCAAAAGATGGCCAAACAACCATATTTAACCTCATACTGAACATTGTAAACTCCATCCATAAAAGCAAATTCTTGAGGTCAAGAAGTATACTGCCTTTGGCTATTTCATTGTCCATCATTGTTTTGTATTTCTAAACTGTTCATGAACATTACTTGAGGATCGGACAAATGAATTTAAAAATGCATTAATGCTCTCATTTTTGCTATATCAAAATGTCTCAAATAGATAGAATTTTCAATAGATATGCACTTAAACTGGGTCCTGGAATAAAACAATTAACAATATGAAATCCTTTGTTTATAATTATAGAATGTTTTATTAATCAAATCTAATACACTTTTGCAATAATAGTGTTTATTACTCCGTATAAGATAACAAATGAAAGGAGATAAAGAACATAAATCAGCAACAATTTACCAAGTATTATCCTTTAATTGCCTCAATCGCCTGCCCTTTTTCCCCATCTCCTTCCGGCATCCACCGTTAGAGATTTTTTATTGGAAACTCAAAATTATAAATCAAAAAATCCAAATATCTTTTCTTTAAAATAAAATAAAGAAAAAATTTGCCGTGTCTTTGTACCTGGGATTTGCGGAGAAGTGAAGGACCGAATCATGGCGCCAGAAGCCAGCCTTACCAATCGAACTGGAGGTTGAAAAATTTGCCGTGTCTTTGTTGTTTTACTCCATGACTATTTGATTTAAAATCTGGGGGCTAGGAGGTTGGCAGGGGAGTGGAGCAGTTTTAAATATTGTTGATGGGTTGTGTGAAATAATGGGATCAGAGCGAGGTTGGCTGGTTAATCGGGGAGTTGAATGAGTTTTTATTACGGCGGAACTGTAAAAATCTTCAGGCCGGAACTTTTTCCTGCTGCTTTTGTAAACAGTAGGATTGTGTACCCCTCCATACCCACTTAAATAGGTAAAAAAATTAAAAACAATTCAGTAAATAAAGATTAAATTGAAATGAGTGGTTATGGAGGAGGTGAGGGACATAAGTAGTATAGATTTGGTGTATTCCTAGCATCTCCGATCCCTTGTATATAATACTAAAGTGGAGGAAATGAAGTGAACTTAAAATACAGAGTATTTGTTAGAAATAAAGATAATACGAATATTGTTATGAACAAAATGATAGAGATATACCTTGATAAGAACACAAACGAAAGATCAAAGTGCAACGTAGAACGAAAGAGAAGGAATGCAATGATAGACTAAAGAGATCAATCATCCATTTCAACATATAGTGCCTCTATATATAGGCTTACAAAGGGGAAAAGCAAAGGTCTAACTTAAGGGGATAATCAAAGGACATGGAGAACATCAAAAGACATTTGTACATAACACTCCCCCTTGGATTTTGGATGTTCACCATTTAGGTAGACTTGAGCTTAATACACTGCCTCGTTAAAACCTTGCCAAGGAAAACCCAATGGGACAAAAACTTGGACGAAGGAAAAAGAGTACAGTGCTTATAGTGCTCCCCCTGGACATGGCAAAAGATCTTTGAGTTGATGCATTCCAATACCATTGATCATCATCCTAAATGTCGTGGTGGGCAATGCCTTTGTGAACAAATTCGCAAGGTTATTGCATGACTGTATCTGACGAACCTCAATGTCTCCACTTTTCTGAAGCTTGTGCGGATAGAAGAATTTTGGTGATATGTGCTTTGTCTTGTCGCTTTTGATGTAGCCACTTTTAATTTGTGCAATACAAGCAGCATTATCTTCATAGAGTAATGATGGAGCCTTATTCAAAGATAATCCAGAAGTTTCTCGAATGTGATGAACCATTGACTTTAACCATATGCATTCTCGACTTGCTTCATATAGCGCCATTATCTTCAAGTGGTTTGATGAGGTTGCAACTAGTGTTTGCTTTATTGATCTCCATGATATTGCAGCACCACCACAAGTAAAAACATATCCACTTTGTGATTTACCCTTATGTGGGTCAGAAAGATAGCCAGCATCAGCGTAACCAACAACTAGTGATTCTGAACCTTTCGAATAAAACAGGCACATATCGGTTGTTCCACGAAGATAACGTAAGATATGTTTAACACCATTCCAATATCGTCGTGTTGGTGCTGAGCTATATCTTGCCAACAAATTAACCGAAAAGGCTATATCAGGTCTTGTAAAATTTGCAAGATACATTAGCGCCCCTATAGCACTTAAATAAGGTACCTCTGGACCTAAAAGTTCTTCATTATCTTCTCGAGGGCGAAAAGAGTCCTTCTTTACATCTAATGATCGAACAACCATGGGACTGCTCAATGGGTGTGCCTTATCCATGTAAAATCGTTTTAGGACCTTTTCCGTATATGTTGATTAATGGATAAAAATCCCATTTGATACATGCTCGATCTGCAGGCCGAGACAAAACTTGGTTTTCCCAAGATCTTTCATTTCAAACTCTTTCATTAAATAGTTTGCAGTCTTTATTAACTCTTCTGGTGTTCCAACAAGGTTTAAGTCATCTACATATACTGCTATGATAGCAAATCCAACTTCAGATTTCTTGATGAAAACACATGGACAAATTGGATCATTTATGTAGCCTTCTCTAACAAGGTATTCACTAAGACGGTTATACCACATTCTACCAGATTGTTTCAATCCATATAATGATCTCTGTAACTTGAGTGAGAATAACTCACGAGCTTTCTGATTGCATGTTTCAGGAATTTTGAACTGAGTACTTTATTCATCATATGTCGGGGTATTTATACATACACAATGAGGAGGTAAAGTCTAGGTAAACAAAGTAACCAGATATTCTAAATAATAAGAGTAATATATCTGCCATATTTAACACTCCCCCTTAGATATATCATCGTTCATTATACACTAACAACATTATGCTACAGGATAATGTTGGCTAGGTTCTTCAGGACCTATATTAACGGATACTGCAAGAAAAAGTTATGCTGCCTCAGTTATCTGGTCGTGCTCGCTCAGTGTCTTCCAAGAAAAAGTCTTATCACCATATGTGGACACATTACCAATCTAATTTCTCCCTTAAAATTTGGTATTGCAGGACCAAGTACTTCTTCGCCCTCTTCTGGGAGGCGATTAGAATGTTATGAATATATATATATATATATATATATATATATATATATATATATATATATATATATATATATATATATATGAATGAACAACCATGGGTATGTTCAAAGGATGAGCTTTATCCATATTTCAACGTGTTAACATCTTCTGGATGTAGTTAACTTATGGACAAATGTGCCATCTTATAGGGGTTTAAAATACAATCCAAAGTATAATTTATGTCATGTCAAGATCTTCCATCTCAAATTCTCTCTTCAAGAGTTCAACAGTTTTTTTTTGTTTTCTCCATCTCTTCAGGAGATCTAATGATATTTATACGTCGACGTAAACTGCTATAATAAAGAATATTGAGAGCG